TGGTGCCATTTCAGCCTCAGCGTCTTAGGGCAGGCAAGCTTCCCTCTCTGTGTCTCAGCTCCCTCTGCTGTGAAACAGGGACAGGGTCTGAACCTTGCCTCCAAGGATGTTGATGGCAGCACCAAATGAGCTGAGAACATCCTTTAGAATCCTGGAATTTTATAAGGAATCATGATAATTTTATCTCAATAGCTGCTATAATTCCCTTTCTGTCTGATTATATGTGGAAGTCCTGGTTTGGAGAACTTTCTCATTGTAGTTATTGTCAGGGCAAGTTTGCTCAGCCAAAAAAGTCAGTTGGCCTAGGAAAGTAAAAAAAAAACTATTGATTTTTATACTTTTTTTTTTTTTTTTGAGAGAGTCTCATCTTGCCCTCGGTAGAGTGCCATGGTGTCACAGCTCACAGCAAACTCAAACTTTTGGGCTTAAGCAATTCTCTTGCCTCAGCCTCCCAAGTAGCTGGGACTGCAGGCTCTTGCCACAGTACCCACAACTCCCAGCTATTTTTTTGTTGTAGCTGTCATTGTTGTTTAGCTGGCCTGGGCCAGGCTGGAACCTGCCAGCCTCGGTGCATGTGACTGACACTGTAACCACTGTGCTATGGGCATAAGAAGCCAGCCATACTTCTTACGTGCTAGATACTGTTCTAGCTGTCTTCCATGTGTTACTTTTTTTAGTCATCTAAAGCCTGCAGTGTTACCAGGCATGATACTGGTGTGTACATTACATTTATCAGTACTGTATTATCATCAGGCTATGGGAGGCAATGCTGAGGCTGGGAAGCTTGCCTCAGATCACACAGCTAGAGCCATGAGTTAAATACGTCTGTTTCCATCTGTCTCTTATTTTATGTAAGTCCACACAAGAGTGAGCAGGAAATAACAGGCCACAGATGAGCCAAAGTAATTTGTTTGGCTTTGGGTTGAATTGAAACACACACATGTTGCTTTTTACTTTTACTTGGCTTTTCTCTCTTTTGCTTTAGTTTCTCTTGGTTATCCAAGGGTCTAGGATGGTGTTTTTATGTTACCCTTGGTAGAGTGCCGTGGCATCATAGCTCACAGCAACCTCAAACTCCTGGACTCAGGTGATCCTCTTGGCTCAGCCTCCCGAGTAGCTGGGATTCCAGGTGCCCACCATAATGCCACTCTTGCTCAGGTGGTCTCGAACTCCTGAGCTCAAGCAATTCACCCACCTCCGCCTCCCAGAGTGCTAGGACTACAGGCAGGAGGTGAGCCACCTCCTCCAGCCTAGGACTATGTTTTTTATCTTTTTTGATCTCACAGCATGCTTGAACCTATAGTGAAACTTCCATAGCACACTTAAATTATGTTGATCAAAAAGGAGAGTTAAAAAAAAAAGAATATACTTACTGTGCTTTGAACTTCTTTCAAATATAATTTAATTCATGATCTTTACAAATTTTTGCGACTAGTTGAAAAATCACTATTCTAGGATGTGAGTCAGCTGACAGTATGTTTGTTCTTATGGAGAGTTCACCATAGGCACCGTGATTTCCCTTGAAAAGACACACACATAACACCATGGCCTTGTCTGACTATACTGGCTCCGAGACCTGGGAAAGCTTCTTCACCTTAGTTAAGTCTCTTTGTCCTGGCCTCTCTCTCAGCACAGTGGGGACAAGATAGGACTGTGGTGTCAGGGTTCTTATTAGGCTTGCTTTTCTGGGGCTGCTTAAAGGAAGTTGCTTGCTCAGAACTTGAGATCCTTCCTGGCTCCTTAATCCCAGGGAGTGGGCTGGGGGGGGGGGGCCGGGACGAGTTTACTCAGCCAAAAACAAAAATGTCAGTCGCTGCCTGCCTGCCTATGGGTCAGTTCCCCCAAGTTCAGTCTCTTTCATTCATCTCCTTTTGTGCCAGGAAAGCTGGTTCTCAATTTACTTTGAGATATATCCCATGGTGTTTTTAAGCAACACGTTTGTATTCCTAACAGTAGTTGCCTCAGGTCCTGTGAAGTGAGTTTGTAATGTGTGGGGGAGGGCCCAGTCTCCATTGCTTCTTTTACTGCTGATAAACCCAAGGAGTAATTGACCCCGAGTGGATAGGTTTTGAGTTGGTTGTCATGCCAGCCTTGTACATGTGAAGTGTTCTCATTGATAGTGAATAGTGGTACAAAGTATTCCCACACATTTAAAACTCCCCAAAGTCCTCTGATGTTACTGTGGCTACCGGAGAGACAGATGAGGAAGTTGAGCTTTAGATGCAAGGGACCTGTCTGAGGCCAGAATCTGACCCCAGATCCTGGGTTTACAGTGCGGTCCCACTGTCCCCTCCACAGCTACAGATAGACACAGGCTAACAGAGAGCCCATGAGAAGCAACACTCTCGTACATGCTCTGAGTTCCCGGGGGTGGGGGGGGGGGAGCTGATAGATTTTTAGTCCCCAGTGCCTGAGACCCACAGGGTAAAGTAGCTTTGCCAAAGCCCCAGCCCAGGAAACAGGGTCTATGGGAAAAAACGAGGAAGATGGGGCCAAAGGAGAGATTGCCACCAGCTGAAAGGAGCATGAGCTAGAGATGCTGGCATCCTACAGTTCCTAGGAACTAGAGCACATTGTTATGGGGTTCCGTGAGGCTGGGGACTAGGGCTAAAACTGCGGAGAGTGGGGAACAAGGAGTACTCGGGAGGGACGAAAACATTTTGTCCTCTAGCCTCATGCCTTCTCAGTCTGTGCAAGACAGGAAATTCCTCAACTCTCCCGAGGCAGCCAGCTTTCCTAACTGCTGCAGCCCCATCAGAGAATCGAGATAGAGCTATGCATGTCCAACACGAGGACCCTCAAGCCCACTCCCAGGGCCTTCTGCCAAGGCCCCCTCCTGCCCTTCACCAAAGGCTGCAATGTCTATGTGAGGGGCATGGAGGGCAGCAGGGGCCTGAGAATCTCCTCTTCTGTGGGGACCCTGGGGTTACCTGCTCTTGAACTCTGGCTCTGTGCTCTTCAGACTGCACCTGCTTGGGGGACAGTTTTCCTCCAGCCTCCTGGGCCTTCCCAGCCTCTCCTCATCCACATTCTCAGAGACTGAGCTTGGAGAGCTCTGCATCAGGCCTGGCTTTGTTTTCAGTGGCAGGTTGGGGGCTGGGCCTTGCCCAGATACGTCACACACCCTGGCAGCACATCCCCCAGGCTCTGCTTCCGGAAGGAGGTCTGAAAAATATCTGTGGTCCTCTGCTTGTAAGAACCCAAAATGCCAGAGGCCCCCTCCCTGAAAACTTAAGAGCTTAAGTTAGAGATATCCTAGCCCTCCCCATCTCAACCACTGCTCCTGCCCAAAACAAAAAAATTAAAAGGGAATTATTGAAACTTAGGGCTGCTTAGCCTGGGAAAGTCCAGGGGCTGGGCAGGTGTGAGTACATCCTGCCCCAGGGCTGCCTGCATGGGAAGGACACCACCAGCAGGGCACTCTGTGGTCCCCTCCCCTTCAGTTCCTGGAGGTGGGGTCAGAGCCCAGGTGGGGAAGGGTTGAAAGTCCCTATTTGTTAATCTGTCTCCACTGGGGACTGAATGGGAGTGAGGGGCAAGCCCTGCACACTGCCCAGTTTTTGTCCTTGACTCACTGGAACACTTCCCTTCCTTCTCTCAGAGAGGCTGGTTTTTATTCTCCCAGTTTTTACAATAAACTGTATATATTCAAAGCATTTAATTTGATTAGTTTTGACACATGTACACATGAATGGACCCTTCACCATGATTTTTAAAAGGAACTTCTCCATCATTCCTAAATGTTTCCTGGTGCCCCTTTCTAACCCAGCCCCTCCATCTCTTGCCCCACACCACCCCTGATCTGCTTTCTGTCACTGTACTTTGCATTTTCTAGAGTTTGTTCTAAATGGAATCATCTAATATATACTCTTTTTCTGTCTGGCTTCCTTCATTCATCATAATTATTATGAAATTCATCGCTGTCATGGCGTCTTTCCATAGTTCTTTCTTTTTGTTGCCATATAGTATTCCGTTGTATGGGCTATATTATGGTATATTTATTCACGTGTTGATAGACATTGGGGCATATTTATTTGGGGGCTATTGTGAATAAAGCTGCTAAGAATGTTTGTATGCAAGTCTCTGTATGACTATGTACTTCCATTTCTCTTGGGTGAATACCTGGTAGAATGACCGATCATAGGGGAAGTATATGTTGAAAAACTGCCAAACTGTTTGCCAAAGATTATGTACCACTTTACACTCCCACCAGCCGTGCATGAGAGTTGCAAGTTGCTGCACATCCTCACCACTTTTAGTTCTTGGGATGATCTGCCTTTTTAATTTTAGCCTTTATAATGAATGTAGTGCCTTTGGCTTTCTTGGGGTACTTAAAATCTCATAGGATGGTGGGGGAGCCCCACACAACTATAGAGAATGATAGGGAAGCTCTTCAGTTCTGTTTTACAAGTGACATCAAAATATAAAGTTACAAAGCAAGATGCCCTCCATATTCATTGTGTATTTTATTTTTGAAAGAAAATTTTGAAAATACCTATTTGCTTCTATATATCATATACACAAATTGTCTTGGGCAAGGTGAACAAAAAAAAAAAGAAAAATGGTTGCCTCTGGGGAAAGATAGTTGGGCGCCAGGCGACAGGAGTGGGATGGACATTTTATAGATACTGTTTTGAATTTTGTGCCATGTGAGTATCACTTATCCAAAAAGTATTAATAAAATTTAAGGAACAAAATCTTATAAGATGCCAAGTGTTAGCTTCTTCCCCTGAAGTTCTCTGGAGGAACCAGAGCCTAGATTGGGCATGGCTCTGCCGAGGTCTTATTGTTTGTTCCCTGCTCTCAGGCAACAGCATTGTCTTGCCAAGCAGATGGATAGAGCACATTTTGTCCCTGATGACCCCCAGGGCCTCCAAACACTCTCTGTTAGCTTTCAATTTCTGGTGTGAACCTTAGCAAAATAAGTCATGTACCGAGTGGTACATGTGTTTGTTGAATGAATGAGTGTTCTCCCCCACGTTCTTTTGTCTACCACACAGAAAAGAAAAGTGACAGGAAGAGTGAGTACCCTCTGCCTGTGGCTCCCGGCAGGCCCGTTGCACCTGTCTTCCTACAGGGCCTCTCTGATCTCAAGGTCATGGATGGAAGCCAGGTTACCATGACGGTCCAAGTGTCAGGTCTGTCTCTATATCTCTCTTTGGGGGGCATATGTGAAAATGGGCATGGTTACGATGAGCATTGTTCCTTGAGAGCCTGCTCAGATCACTGAACCACCAGAAAATCAGATGGAATCAGCAGGAAATAGACCCAAAGAAGTAGAGACTCTTAATCGCTCTTTTCTGCCTCCTGTTGAGATTTTCTGGGTTCAAGGTTAAATGACCCAGGAGAAGAAGATAGCTGTAGTTAGAGTGGTGAGGGGTTGATTTGAAAACACAATGTGACCAATGTAGCTGGAAGCTTCTGAAGACTGGTACAAAACCAAATTATGGTGAGAACTTCCCAACTCTCAGAAGAAATTATGTGAGAACTTCCCAACTCTTAGAAGATGGTCTCAATTGCTCTATCCAGATTTTAAGGTGAGAAGATGGGGCAGATGCTTCTAAAACAGGAGCAGGGCAACAAGTGTGCTTAGCATCCTGGTCTGAGACATCCTGGTCTGAGTCATTGCTAAAGGTGAGCAGAAGAAGCCGAGGGAAGAAGAGCACTTAGGGCTGGGTCAGCTATAGTTTGCTTTTGAGTGTGTAAGTGGTTTTGGCCACTGATCAGTGCCTATGACAGCCTGGAGGTCACTTTCCTACTTTTTAGTTCTTCTTGAGTTGCTGAAGCAATAAAGATGAGCTGTGAGGAAACCAAGGGGCTCACCCTTTTAGGGATGCTCAGATAGACTCCATCCCTGGCAGTCCCAGGCAGAGGGCCTATCCACACTCTCCATGCTGCTCACTGCCTTCCTGGTCAGAGGCATTCTGCATCTAACCCAAGGAAGACAGATGGCCATCTGCTCTCTCTTGAGCTTCCCAGGGCCTGGTGCCACAGAACCTCCTCTGCCGCCCATCCCAGGGGTCTTGCCCCTCTGGAAGCAGAGCCTAGTGGCTTAGCTCTTCCATCAGAGGAAACCCTTACAGACGGCCATTGTCTTGTGTCCCAACAAATCCACAGAAAAATAGACTAGTAAAATCTGAAACTGTGGTCAACCGAGAGCTGTGTTTGGAAATTCTGTACAAGCTGGTGCCCATCTTTACCCTGGGGCAACATTCATAAAATAGCAAAATGAATGCTGACTCTCTGTGCTGAAACTATAGAAGGGCACTGCCATTGCCTGTATGTGGACACACCACGTGAAGCAGTGCCGAGCAGAAATCACGTTCAGTTACAACCTAGTAATCTGGTTACCACTTGGGATTATCAAACAGTTTGAATTCTAATTTTGAAAACCATTCTTCCTGAATTTACTTTTTCATCTCTAAAATCATATTTTTTGCATCTGAGTTCCTTTTTTTGTTTTTGAGACAGAGCCCCAAGCTGTCCCCCTGGGTAGAGTGCCGTGACACCACAGCTCACAGCAACCTCCAACTCCTGGGCTCAACCGAGTCTCCTGCCTCAGCCTCCTAAGTAGCTGGAACCACAGGTGCCTGCCACAACACCTGGCTATTTTTTTGGTTGCAGCCATCTTTGTTTGGTGGGCCTGGGCTGGATTCGAACCTGCCACCTTAGGTGTATGTGGCTGGCGCCTTAGCCACCGAGCCAGCATCTGAGTTCTTTTTAGTTTCCCTGAATCTGTTGTTAAATAATTCCAATGAACAGCATTGAGTGTTTTCTTTGTCCCCAGTGGTCTTCTGATCTGCTGTCCTGGTGGGCTGCTAAGGGGTTTTGATTAACTCATTTAGTCCTCCCAACAAACCTACAAGAGGATGCTGTTAGAATCCCTATTTTATAGATGGAGAAACTGAAACATAACGAGTTCAGCAGAGCATTTATAGCTGTTATGGTATCAAGCGCAGAGCTACTGCGTGGCCAGGGAAGGATCTCCCTGAACAGTCCCGGCCCTCCTCCTGGTTTAGGGAATCCACCCCCTGAGGTCATCTGGCTTCACAATGGGAACGAGATCCAGGAGTCAGAGGACTTCCACTTTGAACAGAGGGGCACTCTACACAGCCTTTGTATCCAGGAGGTGTTCCCGGAGGACACAGGCACTTACACCTGCGAAGCCTGGAACAGCACTGGAGAGGTCCGCACCCAGGCCGTGCTCACAGTACAAGGTGAGGCTCACAGAACAGGTGGGGCAGGGGTGCTGCCAGGGCATCTCCAAAAGTGATATGGAGGTAAGGAAACCATATGAGGCTGTTTAGTTCCTGCTGTGAACCCTCTGCTCCCTGGGTCCCATCCCAGCCCAGCAGTCAGCTCCCTATCTTACACTTCAAGCTGTGGCTGAGTGGGGCTGCCCTTCCTAGCTTTCTGAAGTCCCTGCCCTGTCTAGATTACTGGTGATGAGCTGTGGGAGTGCTAAGAGGGAAACCTGTAATATGCTTAACAATTTGGCAGTGATTGTTTTTGAGGTGAGTTGTGGGCTTATCAGGGTCCTTGTCATTAGAGAACTTGTATTTAAGAGGAGAAGCAAGTTAAGCACAGGTAAGGCAAGTGACAACACTTACTTGCACACACCTGATACAGATCATTAGCTCCCACGTAGTGCCCCTTGGTCTCCTGGAGTACCTCCCCTTGCTTCAGATACGCAAGTTCATGTTGCTATTGTCCTGTGAGAATGTAACCAAGAGAAATTTATGACAAGAAGATGAGCTGCATGTGTGTATCCAACTGAAGTGATTTCTGGACAAGCTGTCACTTGGGTGGCACTCTGGCTTCCTGCACTTCATACCATGGAGAATTGAGTGGATGTGCTCTCTGCTGAAGGGCCTCCCACTCTAGCTTTGCCCTTTGCCAACTTCTAGAGCCTCACGATGGCACCCAGCCCTGGTTCATCAGCAAGCCTCGCTCGGTGACAGCCTCCCTGGGCCAGAGTGTCCTCATCTCCTGCGCCATAGCTGGTGACCCTTTTCCTACCGTGCACTGGCTCCGAGACGGCAAAGCCCTCTCCAGAGACACTGGCCACTTTGAGGTTCTGCAGAATGAGGACGTGTTCACTCTGGTGCTGAGGAATGTGCAGCCCTGGCACGCAGGCCAGTATGAGATCCTGCTCAAGTGAGTTTGCTGTCCCGCCTGCCTTCCATAACCCTTTAGCCCCAGATTCCAGGTGCCCCAACCTGGGTCTGGGAAGGCAGAGGAAGCACAAGCTGGCGTGGGACTTGGACTTCAGAGTAGCAAGCGCAGGCCTGGTGCCGCTGACGAGCTTGTCTCTTCCCCTTCAGTTTGGCAGGTGCTCCTTGAAACCTTCCCTTCTGAGCTCAGTTCCCCAGAATCTTCAGTCTTGCTGTATCCTGGATTTTGTCCCCCCTAGTGTGGTATATGGAAAATATGAAGGAGGGGGATGGATTACAGTGGGAAAAGCAGGAGGAAAGAGGGAATATATTCGTTATCTATTGCTCTGTAACAAATTACCCTGACACGTAGCAGCCTGAAACAACAAACATCCATCATCTCTCAGTTTCTGTGGGCTGGAAATTTGGAAGCAGGGTAGCTGGATGATTTTGAAGTTGAGGTCAAGAGTCATCAGGGCCTACAGGAGGACTTGAATGACATTGGAGGAGCTGTTTCTGAGATGACGCATACTCCTTTGCCTGTCGGCGGGGGCCTCAGCTCCTTGCTTTGGGGACCCCTCCATGGGGCTGCTTGAGTATCTTCGTGACATGGCAGCTGGGTTCCCCAGAGCTAGTGGTCTAAAACAGAACACAGGTTAGAGCCTGCAATGTCTCTTATGACCTACCCTTGGAAGTCACATGTTAATCACCTCCAACTTCCTATATGTTATATGTGAGTCACTCCATACAGCCCATGCTCAAAGAGAGGGGAATTATGTTTCATATTTTGGAGAGAGGAGTGTCAGAGAATTTGCAGACATTTTAAGACTGCCATAAGGAGGTTAACTTTCTCCATTCCTTTTTTCTCACCTTTTGAAGGTCTTGGTAGATTACACGGAGGGTCAGCTCCATGAAGAACACTGCTGTGTCCCAGGTTTGGAACAGCATCTGGCCCATAGTTAACATTTGATAGCTATTTTTCAAATGAATGTGATTCAGAGATGTCCTTTAAAATGTTCCAACTGGTGGGCGGTGCCTGTGGCTCAAAGGAGTAGGGTGTTGGCCCCATATGCCAGAGGTGGCGGGTTCAAACCCAGCCCTGGCCAAAAACTGCAACAAAACAAAACAAAACTATAAAATGTTCCAACTGGTAAAATCCTATCTGAGCTAGAACGCCTGCCCTTGGCCTTAGGGTTGGTGTAAACATTGAAGAAAGATACTTGTCTGTACCTGACCTGCAATGGGAAGTAAGTTGGTCTGAGCTGGTCAGCCTGACCACTCTGCAAGGGGCTTTCTCTCCTGGGCTTGGTCACTTCCCAATACTGAGTCCATCATGTGTATGGCTCTGAGCTACAAATGGGCTGTCTCACTAAATGCCAAGGCTGCTGCCATGATGGACCATAATGGACCATAATGGACCTGCCATAATCTCAAAACCCAGTATGTATCCTATCCCCACGACTCCTTTTTGGTCACGTACCTTGTGTCAGCTTTTTCTGCATAACAAACCACCCCAATACGTAGGGGCATTTTTTTTTTTTTTTTGTAGTTTCTGGCCAGGGCTGGGTTTGAACCCACCACCTCCAGAATATGAGGCCCTCACCCCTACTCCTTTGAGCCACAGGCACCACCCAGCCTAGGGGCATTTTTTAAATAGTCATTTTTTTTTTTTTATAAAGCCATTATTTCTTTTACTATTTTGGTTTTTTTTTTTTTTTTTTTTTGAGATAGAGTCTTACTATGTTGCTCTTGGTAGAGTGCCATGGTATCACAGGTCACAACAACCTCGGACTTAAGCGATTCTCTTGCCTCAGCCTCCCAGGTAGCTGGAGCTACACATGCCCACCACAATGCCTGGCTATTTTTTGTTGCAGTTGTCATTGTTGCTTAGCTGGCCCAGGCCAGGCTGGAACCTGCCACCTTTGGTATATGTGGCTGGCACTATAACCACTGTGCTATAGGCGCTGAGCCTCATTTATTATTTCTTAGAGTTTTGGATCTGTTAGGAAGTTCTGCTGATCTGGCCAAGGCTCAATGAATCTTAGCTCAGCTTATGATATGCCTGTGGTCAGCTGATGGGATGGTGTGGGCCGCTGGTCACCCTACTGCCCTTAGCAGTTAGCAGTATGTTCAGAACACATCAACTGCCTTTGCCTTATGCCTGAACTCGTTATTACCAGGAAGGCAGATCTGCCTCCAAAATGGGGAGAAGGTACACTCTTGTTCCCTAGGCCGGTACAGAGAATGGAAACTGGTACTATGTAAAAACACTTGCTAAGGGCCTATCTTTATAGAAGGAGTAGTACTTGGAGGCAGTACTCCCACTCAATACTCAACACACAATGCTCAAGCCAGACATCCTAGGAGATGAACTTTCTGTGAGATTTTGAGGAAGAAAGCAAGACTGAGTCTTGGCAAATGAGAAAGGCTTTGCTGTTGAATAGGCTGAGTAGGAAAATTGGGGAGGAGGGGGTAACTCAAAGCAAAGGGAAGTTTGTGGGAAGTTTGCCAGGCCAGAGAGGAGGACTGCGTGGGGAGGTCAGTAGGCAGACTGTCTGGGGCCAGCTGGGGACAGTCATAAAACTTAGACTGTCCCAGCTGCAAGGGACGTCAGAAGTTATCTAGCCTCATCCTTATTTAATAATGAGGGAAACTGAGGTCTCACGGTCATGGACTTGCTCATGGCCACCCAAAGGCAAGTAACAGAGCCCAAGTTCAAACCCTTCTCTTTTGACTTGAATCAGATGCTCTTCTATTCCTTATAGCCCAGGATGAGAAATTTCTCTCAGGTGCATGGGAACTTAGAGTACCTGGGAAGCCAAGCACACTGGAGTCTCCAACCTTGTGCCCTGACCTCTTTTTCCTCCCCCAGTCCTCTTTATTCCTCTTGGGAGGCTTTTGTCCCCTGCTGAGGAGGAGGAAGTCAGTGGAGAGTTCTCCCTGGAGTGTGCCAGGCCTGCCAGAAGCCTCACCTCCTCCAGCTTTTCTCATCCTGACAGAAATCAGACCCAAGACCCAGAGGAAGGTGCCTTTTTAGGAGGGCAACTGGGTGACTGCAAGGAAGCCAGGGGGTCAGGTGTGCAGGGCTGAGGGGCGGGGCAGGTCCTGTCTGTCCTTGCTGAAGTTGTAAGGCAAATGTAGACGGCTAGTTTCTACCTGTCTTCCTCTCCCTAGCTCTTGTCTCCTATATCAAAAAGGAAAACGTCAAAAACTCAGCTCTCCATTGTAGCTGACATGGTTGAAAAATTGATGCTTGCCAGGAAATTAGTTATTTAACTAATTAGTTATTAAATTAATTATTTAGTTATTTAAACTAATATTTATTTTGTTATTTAAAGTAAATTATTTATTCAGTTATTTAAAGTAATTTTGCATATGAAATCCATCCCAGAGGTGGATGAGTCAGGACAGGATTCAAGGCTTTGCAACTAAAGAGTAGGTTTCTTATTCAGGGATTGGGAAGCAGGGGCAAAAGGGCTGTTAGTTTGGGAAAGATGCACCATGTAGGGAGAGAGTCCCATGTCCTTCCTCCATGGCAGTACCTGGGATGGGGCCTCCTTCTCAGCCCAGACCTGGGACAGGGTCTTGCTCTGTTGTCCAGGCTAGAGTGCCATGGTGTCATCATAGTTCACTGCAGCCTCCAACTCCTGGGCTCAAGTGATCCTCCTGCCTTAGTCTCCTAAGTAGCTGGGACTATAGGCACATGCCATAACACCCAGCTAATTTTTATATTTTTTGTAGAGATAGGGGGAGTCTCACTCTTGCCCAAGCTGGTCTTGAACTCATAACCTCTCAAGCAATCCTCCCACCTTAGGCTCCCAGAATGGTAGGATTACAGGTATGAGTCCCTGATTTTGTAACTGAGTGTGTGCAAATGTTGAAGATGGCCACAAACCCTGTTCTAGCTCCCTAGATTATCTGACATGTGGGTCCCAGGCGGGAAGCCCCTCTGTACATGAACCCATGATTTGCCATTTGAGGCCCAGCAGAGATTAAGTTTATGTCTGTGGAAATAGTTACCTCTAGATCAACCCCCAAAGGATGACCCACTTAATGGTCCATTTGTGGTATCCCAAGTTCTCTACCTTCCTCTGACACCTCAGCCTGCCTGGGTGCCTCCGGGTAAGCCCTGTGGGTGGATTGAGCAGGAGGCCTTGAGAAGCTTATCTGAGTCTGCGCTCCCTGCCTTGAGGTCATGAAGACAGCCTTTATCTACTTCCCTCAAGCAGAGAGTCAGCTTACTCCAGCTCAGAGGCAGGGCCCCCACCATTCAGAGCCTGGCTGGGGTAAAGCATGGCCATCTGGGCAGTGTCTGCTCCTGCTGTTTGCATCTGGGCTCTGTTCTACGTGTGACAAGAGGAAGCTCAGCTGAGGAGATGTTGAAAAGGGCTGCCGAGGAAGCTAAGTTCTTGGGCATCTTGTCTTCCTGCTCCATGCCAACCCTGAGAAGAGGGAAAGGAATAGCCTAACACTGGCCAGCAGCCTGGCAGAAGCAGAGTACCAGGGTCTGGGCCTTGACCCAACATGACCTTGAGTGGTTATTGTACAAGTTAACCCAATCACTATGAGTGTTGAGAGTTCAGAGTGCTCTAAGGGCCTCTTAATCTTCCAGGGGCCTGGCACTAATGAGGCTCCTAATTGCTGTTTGTTGAGCAAAGACATCCAGGGCCCTAACGTTCTCCAGACATGAGCGAACCATGAATCTGTGCTCCCTGAGAGTCTGAGCATGGAGGAAGGTGGCCAGGAGGAGATGGGCTGTGGGTCAGATGGCCAGGCGAGAGAAAGCAAGAAAAGAGCTAATGTGGCCAGGAAGGCAAATGCCTGCTGCATGAGGACACTGGGGAAAGGGAGGAAAGAGGGACCCAGTAGGTGAGAGGAGGGTCAGAGGGCAGCAAAGATCAGCCTCTCAAATGGGTCCCAGTGCCCAGGGGTAAGTAGTAGCCCCCGACCCCTGAGAATCACGTGCCACTCCACGGGCTGCCAGTGTCTGTCTGTTGGGAGGGAGGCAGAGTGAGATGAATACCCACACATCAGCAGAACATACACGAACTTGCGCTCAGGTGTCTGTCCCTATGGATGTGACTCGTGCACACATGTTCTCAGACACAGACCTCCAGGTACAGATGCCTGCCAGGTAGGCCCCAAATCTGTGTGCATCCCCATGTATAGTTAATCTATATATGTCCACATAGACACACACAAACACACACATGCATCCCAGAACAGATTTATTCTGACAACCACCATAGGACAGAGCACAGAGGTCACTGGTCTTGGATTCAGATAGACCCAGGTCTCAACCTCTTTCCCCACTAGTTCGTTTTGTGAGTTCATGCAAATTACTTAACCTTTATTAAGTCACTTTTCTTCCATTTTAAAAGCAGTGCCGACTCCAAACTTCTCAGAGCTATCCTGAGATAAAATAGGATGGATCATGTAAGGAACCTGTCGCAGAGTTTGGTGCATCTGCCACTGGGGCTGAGAGCTAGTGAGACAGCTGCATCCAGGGGGATGGTGGGAGCATGATGTTCAGAGACCCCGAGGTTCATCCCCCAGTCTTGCTCTGCACCTCACTGGCATGTTGTGGGGAACAAAAGAGACCAGGAGGCTTGGCGCCTGTGGCTCAAGCAGCTAGGGCACCAGCCACATACACCTGAGCTGGTTGGTTTGAATCCAGCCTGGGCCCACCAAACAACAATGACGGCTGCAACCAAAAAATAGCCAGGCGTTGTGGCAGGCGCCTGTAGCCCTAGCTACTTGGGAGGCAGAGGCAAGAGAATCGCTTCAGCCCAGGAGTTGGAGGTTGCTGTGAGCTGTGATGCCACAGCACTCTACCCAGGACAATAGCTTGAGGCTCTATCTCAAAAAAAAAAAAAAAAGAGACCAGGAGGGTGCTGCATAAAATGCAGTCCTTGTGACCACTAAAAGTCTCCTCTGGCTCTCAGACCTGTCCCACTCCACCCCCAGCCTGAGCAGAACCTTCTCAGATGGTCAGAGCTCAGGAATGCCAGCAGGTGGCAGCCTTGCTGGGCTGGAGGGATGTTCTGCTATGAACCCACCCAAGTGCCAACAGCTTCCTTTGAGCAGAGGGCCTCGGGACTTGTATCACCGCTGAGAGGGAGGCCAAACAATTTTATGGACTTGAAGGATCCAGAACCACCTCCCCACCCCCACCCCTGCAACTTGAGAGAAGGGGAGAAAGGGCCACCCCCATAGGAAAACATTTGGTAGGGGTATTGTCAGTGGGTAGAGTTTGGTGGCACTATATTCCTGAGCACTTGGGAAGTGATGACCTCTGTGTTTAGGGAGCATGGAATTGGATTCAAGGTCAAGGGCAGGCCAACCAGGCCTGTCTGTAGACCAAGCAGCTCCATCACAGTCCCTGGCAGAGTTAGCCTTTCTTCTCCTCTTATTGATGGAATGACTGGCTGACCGTGTCATGTAATACGTATATACTTAGTGAAAAGTATTCCTATTTCTAATCGTCTGTCTTAGCTGTTGTCCGGAGATTTCTTTTTCTTCTTTTTAAATTAGAACTGGGAAAAATAAAGAGTGACCACAGGGTGAGAAGGCCCTGGCCTGAATCTAACTCAGGATAGACATCATAGCTAAGCCAGTGACCTCCATCTTCCCTGGTGGCCAGCAGCCCATGACCAAGTCCGCGCTGAGCGTGCCCTTTGCCCAGAGAACCTCTTGATCTTTATTGATCTTTTGCACTCCTTAGGAACCGGGTTGGTGAATGCAGCTGCCAGGTGTCACTGATGCTGCAGAGCAGCCCTGCCAGAGCCCCCCCACGGTGAGTGCCCCCAGGAGCTGACTGGCCCGGCCCTGTGCCATCCCCCCCAAAGCCCAGCCGGCAGCCCTAGCGTGTTTGTATCCTCCTGCTGACGCTGCCAAAGCCAAAAGGGAGAGATTGGAAGGGAGTGAGGGAGGGAGAGGAGGGGAAAGAAGGGGGTGATTTTTTTTGCACACACCCTTATAAGGCTACTGAAGTCATTACCGATGTAATAAACCAAGTAAGCAAGTGAGTGCCTCTCACCAATGTTCCCTTCTATAAACACAGCCTGGCCGGCCCCCCCTCCCCTCGCCCCTCCTCTCTGCCCTCCGCCCTCAGGGATTTGCTCTCCCCTGACGGTTCTTTCTTACCCAACCCCTTTCCTCCTGCTACTTTCCCTTTTCCCTTCACTGTTTGCAGGGGGAGAGAGCCTGCCAGCTGTGAGGGCCTCTTTGGTGGAGAAGCTGGTGCTGATGGTGGTGGTGGTGACAACTATGGGACCCTGAGGCCCAGCTGGCCGGCAAGGGGGCACGGTTGGCCAGAGGAGGAGGACGGTGAGGACGTGCGGGGGGTGCTGAAGAGGCGCGTGGAGACCAGGCAGCACACGGAAGAGGCCATCCGCCAGCAGGAGGTAGAGCAGCTGGACTTCCGCGACCTCCTGGGGAAGAAGGTGAGTACCAAGACCTTGTCTGAAGAGGATCTGAAGGAGATCCCAGCTGAGCAGATGGATTTCCGTGCCAACCTGCAGCGGCAAGTAAAGCCAAAGACTGTGACCGAGGAAGAGAGGAAGGGACATAGTCCCCAGCAGGTTGACTTCCGCTCTGTTCTGGCCAAGAAGGGGACTCCCAAGACCCCAGTGCCTGAGAAGGTACCACCTCCAAAACCTGCCACTCCAGATTTTCGCTCAGTGCTAGGAAGCAAGAAGAAATTACCAGCAGAGAATGGTGGCGGCAGCACTGAGGCCTTGAATGCCAAGGCAGTGGAAAGTTCCAAGCCCGGGAGTAATGCACAGCCATCAGGGTCCTTGAAGCCTGTGGGCAACACCAAGCCTGCTGAGACCCTGAAGCCCTTGGGCAATGCCAAGCCTGCTGAGACCCTGAAGCCCTTGGGCAATGCCAAGCCTGCTGAGACCCTGAAGCCCGTGGGCAATGCCAAGCCTGC